TTGGAAATCACTGGAAGGGGCGAGGCTTAGGTATTTGCCAGGGTGGGGGCAATCCAGGTCCCTGAGTTGAGACTCTGTCTGTGGGGGAGGGGTCTAAGAGGCAACAATGCTGCTTGCTTGGATCTTGGCCAGCCTTCAGTCACTTCCTCCACTACCCACAAGCAAATAGGGCCCTTCTGGTGCTGATTCCCAGGTGGGTGGGTGTGTATACATTCTAGGACCCCGTGGATCTCTCCAGCGGAATCTCTTGTGAGGCTGAGAGGTTCTCCTGTCGCTGCAACCCCCGCAGTATTTTTATAGCCAGAGTTTTTGTGGGTTTCTTTTCCCACACTGCAAACCTGGATTGTGCCATCTGTCTCACTCCTTAGCTATTCCTGTGGTTTATCCACATGCAAATGTGAAACTGCCTAGTCTGCCAGCCTGGGCCTCGCCTGCCCAGGCCTCACCTGCCCAATCCTCCAGCCTCTACCTTGCTGCCTGTGCTCTCTGCCCCAGCTGCCCATCTGCGCCCCTCCTACCAGTCTGTATGAATGTTTCTTCTTTAGCGCCTTGGTTGTCATACTTCCATACAGCTTGATTTTCTGGTAGTTCTGGTTATTTTTTGTTTTTAAATTTGTTATTGTCCTTCTTTTAGTTGCACAAGGAGGCAAAGTGTGTCTATCTATGCCTTTATCTTGGCCGAAAGTCCTGTCATAGTGATTTTAAATGTCTGTCTGATAATTCTAATATTTTGTCCATCTCTAAGATCCTTAACTATATTTTCTTTTGATAATGTGTCATATTTTATTTATTCTTTTACTAAGTTTTTATTTCATGCCAGCTTGTGTGTATAAAAGAACATGGGAAACTGTAGGGGGAAAATGTATGCCTTCAGAAAAAGGTATACCCTTTATTCTACATTACTAGTATAAGCAGGCAGGGTGGGGTAAGGTGAAACTATTGAATCCTCAAATGATCTGGTTCTGGGCTTTGTTGTAACTTTACTTAGATTCACTTCATCACTGACTTGGAATATTTTGAGGCTGATTCAAGACATACCCTTCAGGAAGGCATGGGAGCTCAGACCCAGTGATGCTCTAGTCAATAATGGAGAATTTTCTCTAGTTTACAGCCTCGCCACAGCTATTTGGGTTCCTGGGGTATTCTTTTTGCTCTCTGGACACCAGCTTCTTGCTTTTGTCAACTGCTGTCTTCATTCAGTGAAAGCCTGATGTGCTTCAGGCAGATTCCCTGAGTTCTCTGCCCTGCCTCCAGGCTTCAGCGGACAGCCTTTCTTGCACTTGGGATACCCATAGTGGGTATCATTCTGTAGGAAAGAAAGCAGCCATAAATATCTTCTCTCATAAGAAGGCCTTGACATTTTCAAAAATTTAGTTCATTTGGAGTCCTTTTACATGTCCCCAGCCCTCACTTTTTTAAAAAATGAAACTGTGATATTGTAGCTTATCCAGTTTTCTTTTTATTAGTGTTAGTATGCCAATATCTTTTGTCTTTTCTACACACTACATCAGAAGTTCCTTACATTTGCTTTTTACTTAGTAAAATATATTCAGATGAAGGCAGTAGCTTGGACTCCCAGTCTTAGTATATTTTGCTCTTATTGGGGGGGGGGTGTGCATACACACGCACACATATGTAGTTAATCAAATATCATTTGAAACCAAAAGTGAGTGTAGCCTTCCAATTATACTTATTCTCTGATAATTATGCTCCATAAGTTGTTACTGGTTAAGGTATAAATTATAAATGAACATTGAATAATTTAATGTGGAATAATTTAAAATATTTCTTGTTATTTTATGCTCTAAAAGCACAGTTAAATTGTATTCTTGTGGTAAATCACGATGTGTTTGTGTTATTTGTCTCTGGTCACATCTCTTTGACTTCAAAGTTTATGCTCTTTAGCCACCTCTCCTCATGCATATAAATTGCTAATCATGAAAAATAAATGACAAGACCTGAAGGGGCTATAATAGTTGCAGTATTTACAGTGTTTTGATGGTCGAATTACATATAAGCGATTTTCTTTTATTTTTTCAAAGTATTATTAATTTATATAAAAACAATGAATTTATAAAATTTTAAACTCAGAAATATAAATGTGGCCCAAGGAAATGTACTGTATTTCTGTTAACAAGATCTGAATTCCAATTTAAATAATTTTGTTATATATTTATCTTTTTCTTCCCTCACTTCAATGGTTTCTAGCAGTAGCAATGACACATAAATTACCTTATAGCAAAATATTATATTTATTGCAGTATTTAAAAAGATAATTTTGAAAGGAGAGGAGAATTTTTCAACATCCAGATGTGCTCTCAAAAAAAGAATTTTAATAATTACAATTTAGGTTATATTCTTTCCTTGAAAGCAGTGATAATTTTAGATATGCTTTAATTTCTAATTTGTTTTTAGGATGGAAGGGGGTATTTTTCTAGGTATTAAAGAATAGAAAAAAAGCGTTATGGGAAAAAGTCACCATCTGATTATTTGCATGTTATTTGCTTTCTGTCTGTAGTTTCAAATCCTATGAAAGAGACTCAGAGCATCACTTATTCAGTTTTATTATTAGTTTGGAATCTCCATGGTCTGGTCTGGATTGCTCTTGTATTTAATTTGATAACCAAATTACTTTATGAAATGGAATTAAAGCTAAATAAGGACACATCTGAAATAGAAGTTGGAAAAAAAGAAAAGAAGACAGATGGTGAAAAGCAATATGCTTAGTAGGTTTCCTCCATCCAAACTGCAGAGGGTTTTCACAGAGCCCTTTCAAAAGGGTCCCACCAAGAAGGAACAGAAAAACAACCAGATGTTTCTCCATGCACCTCTCATGTGAGTTGCATTTCAACATCAAAATTTATTTAACTTTAATTGTCAGTAAGAAAAATAATTTAAAAATATAATTCCTATTTCAACTTTACTTGCCCACCTGCCCCATATCCGGCTCACCCCATGTTGGATCCACAGAAGCATCTGTATACCTAGAAGCTTATTTTGAAAATTGAGTTTCCATGCTTTTTCCACCATGTATTTCAATAAAGGTAGAAATACACATGTACAAAATTACAGAGCTATTTTCATTTCGGGTTCCGTTTCTTGTATACATTATTTCTAATTATCAATCAAGTGTTTCATAAAAATGGATGCAATTTTTTTCTCCCAGTTAAATAAGTAAGAAAAACTTTGCAGGCTAGAAAGACTGGCAAGAAGTATTCAAAGTGATGAAAAGCACAGACCTATAGCCTAGATTACTCTATCCAGCAAAGCTGTCATTTAGAATAGAAGGGCAGATAAAGTGCTTCCCAGACAAGGTAAAGCTAAAGGAATTCATCATCACCAAGCCATTATTATATGAAAAACTAAAGGGAATTATATAAGAAAAAGATCAAAACAATGAACATTAGAATTGCAATAAATTCACAACTATCAATAATTGACTCCAAATAACACCACTAAGCGAACAAGCAGAACAGGAGCAGAATCACAGAAATGGAGATAGTTTGGCAGGTTATCAATTGGGAGTGGGAAGAGGGAGAATGGGGGGAAAGTCCAGGGATTAAGAAGCACAAATTGGTGGGTACAAAATAGACAGGAGAGTGTTAAGAACATTGTAGGAAATGGAGTAGCTAAAGAATTTATATGCATGACCCATGGACAGGAACTAAACAGAGGGATTGCTGGAGGGAATGGGGGTATCGAGTGGAGGGAGGCAAAGGGGAAAAAATTGGGACAACTGTAACAGTATAATCAGTAAAATATATTAAATAAAAATAAGTGAGGCTATTCTCATTTTCATTCAAGTCCAGGGCTCTTAATTGTGTATTTCCAAAGCTCTTCTCGGTGAATATGACCAAATATCACCTGACTGCTCCCTCTTTTATCTTTTGCTGCTACCTGCAGCTGAAGTCTTGTCCTGATTCTTGTCCTGAGAGAAATAACCTGAACAAGTGAACATGAAGAGCTGTAACATTAGAGCCCAGGCCTGATTTGCCCTAGACCACCCCACGGTCCTGGAGGCCTTGTCTAGTTCCAGTTACAGCAACAAAGGCAGAAGAGCCAAGATTCGTCCTTTGGACAGGAAATTCCAAACTGTTTTCCACAGTGGCTACACCAGTCTGCATCCCCACCAACAGTGTACTAGGGTTCCCTTTTCTCCACAACCTTGCCAGCGCTTGTTTTTTGTTGATTTATTTATAATGGCCATTCTGACCAATGTGAAGTGGTATCTCATTGTGGTTTTAATTTGTATTTCTCTGATGGATAGTGATGCTGAGCATCCTTTCATATGTTTCTGGGCCCTGTGTATGTCCTCCTTGGAGAAGTGTCTGTTCAGGTCCTTTGCCCATTTTTTTAAATTGGATTTGTTGTCTTCCTGGAGTGGCGTCGTGTGAGTTCTTTATATTTTTTGGAGATCAAACCCTTGTCTGAGGTATCATTGGAAATATATTTTCCCATATGGTTGGTTCCCTTTTCATTTTGTTGATTTCTGCTTTAGCCGTGCAGAAGCTTTTTATTTTGACAAAATCCCATTTGTTTATTCTTTCCTTTATGTCCCTTACTCTAGAGGACATATAGATGAAAATATTGCTGCATGGAATATCTGAGAGTGTCCTGCCTATGTTCTCCTCTAGAACTTTTATGGTGTTGCAACTTACATTTAAGTCTTTTATCCATCTTGAGTTTATTTTTGTGTATGGTTTAAGTTGGTGGTCGAGTTTCATTTTTTTGCATGTCCAGATCTCCCAATACCATTTGTTGAAGAGGTTATTTTTACTCTATTTTAAGCTTCTGCCCCTTGTCGAATATTAATTGACCATAGAGATATGGGTTTATTTCTGGGCTCTCTATTCTGTTCCATTGATCTATGTGTTTGTTCTTATGCCAGTACCAAACTGTTTTGATTACAGTATCCTTGTAATATAGTTTGACGTCAGGCATTGTGATCCCTCCTACTTTGTTCTTCTTTCTCAAAATTGCTGCAGCTATTTGGGGTTGTTTAAAATATGGAATGCTTCACTAATCTGTGTGTCATCCTTGCTCAGGGCCCATGCTAATCTTCTCTGTATCATTCCAATGTTAGCATATGTGCTGCTGAAGCAAGCACTCAATAGGAGATCTTGCTGGGAACCTTATTTTGGACAGTTTACCAGTTGCTTTCTATTCCAAAGTTGTAACTGCTGTAATACGGTGCTTCAAGAGAAATGTTGTTATGAAAAGGGTTTAGAATTAAATTTTTAATTCGTTTAAAAAAGAATAAATAAGCCTGATAAGAGCAATAAAATAATTAAAACCAGAAGAGAAATAGGAAGTATAAAGGACATAAGAGGTCAAGGCTATGTTAGTAAGAGATTAAAAAAGAGCCCAATTATGCATGCTGGGACTTACGCCTTCCCCCACCCCTCCCTACCTTACCACCATCACCTCAGCCGGATTCCTGGAGTGTGTCAGTTACCAAAGCTTCGCAGACTTCCTGCTTCATGATTTGGTCTAGGTAGGGTTTCACGGCAAGGGTGGGGCCCCACACTGAAGATGGGGCCTCTGGCATATTGAAACCTTCAGACAGAAACTGTACCTGTCCTAGCCACCTTTTCTTTCTGGCGCCAGAAGGTATACAAAACAATGCCCAATTCCTTTGCAAGCAGCATGTTCAGGTAGATGTAGATTTTGTGCTTGCTATTTTAATTTTTTAAATTCTGTTATTCATTTTATTAAAGAATTTCCAATTAATTCTATTATGTGTACATTTGAGTTTCATTCTCCCATGCCTGGTGAGGCCCTAGCTCATTAGTCCTCAAAGCCAACACTGAGAGTAGCACCATGTGTTCTACAAAAACTACTTAAATGTAGACATAATATCTAAAAAGAAAGAAGTGTCTCCGAAGGACTGGCCCTAAAAATAAATACTTATAAAGTGGTTGCTAATGCTGCTGTCAAGTGTCTTTCCCTTGGTGCCCCCCACCTATTTTTATGTAGGAAGGAATAGTGCCCTGCAAACTCACCAAGCTTGGAATTATGGATTTGCCACTGTTCATTGGCCCAAGGTAGCTGCTTCTCCAATTATAAACACTAAGAGATCTACTCAGAGATTTGTGTTCTCACTGGACAGGCCACAGATGATCAACACTTGAATTTTGGGGGTGAGGTTGAAAATTATTGTTTCCTCACATCTTTGATGGCATTGTTCCATATCCTTCTAGACCCAGTTTTGGAGATTTATTTTTTCCCCCTGAAATTTTCCACTAATGATCCAGTACAGGGGATGTTCATTTATTCACTGTTCCAGGCCCTTGGTGACCCTTTCTGTGTGAAAAATTATCTTATTCATATCTGGGAAACTCTGCTACGCTATATTTTCATAATGGAACCCCCCTTATTGGGATGACAGGCTTTCTAGCTAGAGCCCCTAGGTCTCATGTTATCTGTAAAAAAAGAAAAAGGTGTTCTTTATTCTTTAATTATATTTTATTGATTATGCTATTACAGTTGTCCCAATTTTTCCTCCTTTGTCCCCCTCCACCCAGCATCATCCACTCCCTCATGCAGTCCCCACACCATTGTTCATGTCCATGTGTCATGTATACAAGTTCTTTGTCTATTCCATGTCCTATATTGTAATTTACACCTTCCTGGCTATTCTGTAACTACCTATTTGTACTTCTTAACCCCCTCACCTCTTCACCAATTCCCCCACACCCTCCTTCCATCTGGCAACTATCAAAGCACTCTCCATATCCATGAGTCTGCCTCTGTTATTCTTGTTTGCTTAGTCTGTTTTGTAGACTCAATTGTTGATAGATATGCACTTATTACCATTTTATTGTTCATAGTTTTGATATTTTCCTTTTTTTAAAATAAGACCCTTTAAGATTTCATATAATAATTGTTTGGTGGTGATGAACTCCTTTAGTTTTTTCTTGTCCAGGAATCTCTTTATTTGCCCTTCAATTCTAAATGATATCTTTGCTGGGTAGAACAATCTTGGCTACAGGTCCCTGCTTTTCATGACTTTGATATTTCTTGCTAGTCCCTTCCAGCCTGCAAAGTTTCTTATGAGAAATCAGCTGACAGTCATATGGTAACTCCCCAGTAGGTAACTAACTGCTTTTCTCTTGCTGCCTTTATGACTCTCTCTTTATCTTTAAACTTTGACATTTTAATTATGATGTATCTTGGAGTGGACTTCTTTATATCCATCTTGTTTGGGATGCTCTGTGCTTCCTGGACTTGTATGTCTATTTCCTTTACCAAATTAGGGAAGTTCTCTTTCATTATTTTTTCAAATAGATCTCCAATGTCTTGCTCTTTCTCTTCTTCTTCTGGCACCACTATAATGCAAATGTTGAAACACTTGAAGTTGTGTCTGAGGCTGCATGTACTATCCTCTCTTTTTTTGGATTCTTTTTTCTTCTTGCTGTTCTGCACTGTTGTTTTCTGCTTCCTTATGTTCCAAATCACTGATTTGATTCTTCACTTCATCCACTCTACTGTTGTTTCCCTGTAATTGTTCTTTGTTTTAATTAGTGTATTCTTTGTTTCTGGTTGGATCTTTTTATGCTATTGAGATCCTCACTAAGTTCCTTGAGCATCCATATAACCAGTGTTTTGAATTCTGTATCTGATGATCTCTATTTTGTTTAGTTGATTTTCTGGAGTTTTGATCTGTTCCTTCATTTGGGCCATGTTTCTTTGTCTCTTCATTTTGGCAACTGCCCTCTATTTGTTTCTGTGTATTAGGTAGAGTTGCTATGACTCCCTGTCTTGGTATCATGGCCCAATGAAGTAGGTGTTTTATATGGACCAGTGGCACAGCCTCCCCTAACACCCAAGCTATGTACCCAAGGTGTGACCTTCATGTGAGTTGAGTGCACTCTCCTCTTATAGCTAAATCTTGGTTGCTTTTGGAAGGTCAGTGGGAGGGATTTACCCAGGCGAGTCAGCTGCAAGGATTGGCTATTACTACTTACCATCAACCTCCACCCTCCATAGGGGATCAGCTGTGCAGTGACAGGGTGGTGGTGTTCCAACATGATCTGTAACTGTCCACTGGGTGCATAGGCCCTAGGGGTTCTCTGGTGGTGCAGGTCAAGGTCAGCCCCCACCTGTGTTTTGCCCTGGGCCACCCTGTCTGAGCTATAGAGTAATATGAGATGGCTACTACTTATACTGGACTTGGAGATTACTAGGTGAAGCCAAGCTGTGAATCTAGGCTGCCTGCTGCTAGTGCCAGGCCTGGAGCCACTTAGCAAGAGGTATTGGGGCTGGGGCTCACTCGGGCCAGCTGTTGCTTGTTTGAAAGCATTTAGGAAGTTATAAAGCATGAGCCAAGACCAGTCATTCATATGGAAAAGCCACTGTTAACAGCTGTAAATTGGGTGGGATGGAGCCTCAGGGCATCTCTGGGGCAGGGCAAACAGTGTTAGTCATGTTGATTGAGTCTCAGATACGGAACTTGTCTGTGGCTCTGCCCTCCTTTTTATTTGGAAGAAAACTCTCCCCCAGCTCTCGCCTTTATGCCAGCCATTTCGGTTCCTCCCTGTATGCTACTGATGCCTTGTAAGCTGCTATTCCGGTGCTAGAGCTCAGAGGGAGTAAGTCTGAGTAAGTTTGTGCTTAGGTTCTTTAAGAGGAACTACCTGGGACCTCAGAAGTTTCTTCTGTTAACTCAATCCCTGCAGTCTGGATGGATGTGGTTTCTTTTATTCCGCAGTTGTCAGACTTCCATTCAATTCAATTTCTGACAGTTCTGAGTGATGGTTGCTCTATAATTTAGTTTAATTTTGATGTGGTCATGTGAGGAGGTGAGACGTGTTTACTTATGCTGCCATCTTGACCAGAAGTCAAAAATGTATGAGTCTATCTTTTTTGATCTACTTCATGGAATAATTTCTTGGCTTTAACTTCTAATCCTCTATCTATTTATTTGTTGGGGTTTTTTTTTTTTGTTTTTTGTTTGTTCTTTTTTTTTGGTTTGGAGATAATAGTTTTCATGTCCAAAAGCTTTTTAAAAAATATGCTAGTTATTTGTTTTTCCTATCATCCATTTCCTGCCTTCTTGTTTTTAAGAAGAAATGTTTTCATGAATATTCTCAGGAGACTAGTCAGGTTCTCCCTTTTCCATGAACCATCTTTATTTCCTTCTGACCCATTTGTTTCTGATGTTTATTTTGGTCTCTCATTTTAGAGACTAGCTGCAAGAATGCTACAGCCATAAGATGTTCATTAATATTTGAGAATGCACATGAATAAAGCTATAGTAACTGGTGAGTTTTCTTTTAGATAGCCAGAATGGGATCTGGCCACTATTCCAGGAGCCCTTTAAAACTAGAATGGAGAAGACTTTCATTCTGGAGCACTGAATTTCATCAGAGAAGCAGCCTCAGAAAAAAAGGGAAAATAGAATTTAAATGGCAAATGCAGATGACAAAGAAGATACAATAAAGAAGAAAAAACTCTATGGTCATTTTGAAAAATTATTTTCTACCAAATGCCATCTGCTAAAACTCAGCATCTATTTTTGAGAAAACACTTTATAAGCTAGGAATAGATTTTAAAAATGTCTTTTTCTTGACAAAGGGTATCTTTCAGAAATAACCAGAGATATACCAGAAAAAAATTAAGTTGCCTTTATTTACCAGTTAAACATTATTCTGAAGACATTTAATATAATAAAGATAAAGAAGGAGTCATAAATTCTAGAAAGGAGGTCAAACATTATTGTTCCCTAGCATACCTAAAAAAATGGCTAAAAACCTATACCGATCAAGAACAGCTAAAACACTAAATCAAATGAGAATCAACCATAAGAGTGCCATGTTGGGATAAAGAGAAATATTCAAAATCTACATAATTTACATTCCAAAAATTATTTAAAACTACAATGGCAGATCCTGTATTTTTCAACACTATTCAGGTAAATAAAACTGATGAAGAAAAGTGGGGAGACCATCAGCAGACAAGAGATTTCAACAGGTATCTGGAAGAAAATTTCTAGATGATAGCATAGGAGAAAATCTAGGTGACCTTGGGTTTGGTGATAAGTTTTTACATACAAAATACAACGCATAAAGAAAATATTTGATAAGTTGGACTTTCATTAAAACTTAA